TGCCGTCGATGGCACAGATCCAGAACTGCGCGCCTGCCAGGACCAGGTAAGGCAGGGCAGGGGTGCCCAGGCCTGCAGGGACAAGTTGTGCAGCCGTCAGGTAGCTGCCGGCTGGGGCTGCGGTGCGGCCGTGGGGCGTGGGTACCCCCCATGCTGTGATACAGCCCAGGTTTTATGGGGCTGGGGTTTGGAAAGGTCTGTTGCTCACAAGTCAGAGCTAGGAGAAATCAAACTGAGGGAAGTATCGACTGCCACAAACCCGAATTTAATGATGTTGCCTGATTCTGCCTCATTTACACCCGACACCACCTGGGGGTGGCAGCTGAGCCAGCGGGTCCGCGACCCCTCTGGTGCCCTTCTGCCCCGTCCCCCTCTGCGGAGCGAGGCGCTGAGCAGATTAGTCAGCGTCTTCCATCAGCGAACGCTCGGTGCCTAAGATACTTAAAGACATCTGATTTTCAACCTCATTTCTAAACAGATGAGGCTTATGTGATTATAGTGTCTGTCTCTTGTCCCCTTGTTGGCCAGTTTCCATCTTCACTCAGGAATTTTGGTCTCAAAGAGGTTAACTTCCAGAAAGGTTTCATGAACTGTTGGCCGAGTAAGCAGAAACGATCCTGCTCATGCCTCTGGAGAAAGGGCCACAGCACGACCTGTTGCTCATCTCCGAGAGCCGATGCGAGAGGGAGCGTGCCGGGTGAAAGGGAAGCCTCTGCTTCATGCCTGTGTTTTGCAGAGGTCTGGTCAACCAACCGTGATGGCAAACATCACGGACGAGCATCCCCAGCGCGCTGCCCAGGTCCCACCTGCCCCTGCGTGCCAGCTGCTCTCGGTGGTCCCGGGATTGCTTAATCCATGGATTAACGGGGTGTATAGTTTTTTTTACAAGAGCTGTGTGTGAGCCAGGCTTAGTCTGGAAATATAGTGCCATGGTTGTACAGCTCTGCTTGTGAGCTCGGTGGCTTGAAGCAAAGCTCGCTATGGGCTGCCGGCGGGCTGGTCCTTACTTCCAGCATAGAAGCCTTGTCTTGAAAATTGCTCGTGCAAAATTATCTTGACAACTAAAGTCTAAATACTCTTGAGACAAATGTCCCAGAAGTGCTAGGTGTTAGAAGATGCAAAGGTACAAACCATCTTATACCAGTTAATATTTCACTGGGATATTGTGAACAATGGTGATGACTGAAATCATCCGTACACCCACATTTGTAGAATTCTCTCTCCTTTACTCCTTTGTGAATTACACTTAAATGCTCATTGGAGCTGAATATGTCTCCTTTTGGCAGCCGCCTGACATTTTTGCCTTGTAATGCAGAACCTAAGGATGTGTAATGGATTGTGTAAAACCTACCTATTGTAGTTCTGGGATTATGGACGAAAAGCAAAGGTTTCGTGTTCTGGTCCTTATTAATGAACTAAACTAGATAGTATCCTTTTTTATACATAAATGAAAGATAAAAGACATATGAGGTTTATGAACAAGGTCATTAGTGTACCAAATTTCTCTCATTAGGTCTGTTACGTTACTTTCCAACTTACACATCTCTCATTAGAAAAAATTTATGAACTGGAATGATTACAAGTATACCGCATTTTAAACCATTAGTACTTTTAATTGCAAAACAAAAAATAATTAGACTTCTGTGCCATAATGGATTTGTACTTTTGTGCACGTATTTTTTGGTTAGAAATTTAATAGAGGACCTGCCCAGAGCCAGGGGGCTGGGGTGAGAGGAGAAGAAATTGTACCGGTTAGTGCAATTTGCAATTTAGCTGCAAATCCTGAAGCACTGCTTAAATTTAATAACCTTGTTAGAACCAAGTTAATATTGCAAGCTAATATGGCTGTTTCTTTTCCACACTAGACTTTCAATTTCACATCCTTACATCTGATTTGAAGTGACGGTGAGAGGAAGCATAAGGTACCTCTCATTCTGTTTGGACTCCTTGTTTACACAAGAGTGATGGAGACGCTATTAAGCACAAAGGGGATCACCATATGCCTGTTTTTCTTTGTATTGAGTTTGGCAGCAGCTATTGAAATACCATTATCAGGTGAGTTGTAGCTATTTACTGAACACTTTGCTGTTTTGATTTGGTATCCCTTTTTGTTTTCTTTTTTTTTTTTTAACCTTTCCCTGAAGAAAAAAATATTAAATCCTCCTTTTCAGTTGTTCCATTTTGAATTTAATTCTGCCAGAACATGGCCTTTGGGAAATTCAGATGTGATAAAAATGTAAGCTACTTTGTTTGAACCTGCTTAAACGTAGCAATAAACTTGTCTAATAACATATATCTGAGGTTTGCGATCCAACACAACGCTTCGCTCCAAGGGTTTGGTTTTGTCCTTCACATAAATTCCTCATTTTGGCTCTGAATCTCCCTGAAGCTTGTTTGATGTACATATACCTTTATTTGTCTTGCAACCTGCCGTTTCAGTCCGAAAAAGGAGCAGGTGTATGTTTCGGGGTGTACGTTAGTCCCCAGAGCAGTGTTTCCTACACCTCGCGTACTGCCCTGGGGAGCACCTCCTTTTTCCCTCTGTGGCTACGATGCATTCAAACTGCCTGTTCGACACGGTTGGTGTGCTTTCCGGACACGTGTGAAATATGGCATAAGGCTCATAGGGGCCAGTCCAATGAAAGCCAGTGGACCCCACTGCCTGGAGCACAGCCCAGACCTCCCAAGCTTTGCGTTTTCCAAATATAGATGGATTAGGAGGATTACAATCTACATGTTTTTTTGGGGGGAAAAAACCCACAGCAAAGCAAAACTCAACAATATTGGGTTTTGAATGAATTATGGTGGGGATAAATGAATAAACCTAAGGAAAAAGAAACGTAGACTCTTTGCAGGGCTTTGGGTGCTGTAGCCTCAGTGTAGGACAGGGGCCAGTTTCAGGGCATCGTGTGGACTTGCCGTGACCTGTTAGCACTCTGGAGTCTGCCAACAGCCCTGGCTGCAAAGGATAAGGCAGTCAAGCAGGTTTACAGCATATTTTTCTTAAGTTATGCAAACTTGTTTAACAGCTTTTGGAAGTAGAACTTTTTTGGAGGAAGGTACGGCAGTGGCTCCTGCTGGTTAAATAAAGCAAACGTGGAGCTGTGACTGTAAAGTGCAGGACAAACTATCTGGGCATCCATTGCTTTTAAGTACCTACACGGGGGAACTATCTAGCCCTTAATTCGCTTTAATGAAGCATTTTATATTTTAATAAAAAAGAATTATGTCTGATCAGTGACGCTGGTGGGCTCGGAAGTGTTTGAGACTGCATGGTATGGCAAGACACCACGTTTTGCTCCAGCATTGAGCTTCCTGGACTTAAAAAGAAACTAAAGAGCATGTTAATTTTCTTCCTGGCTGTTTATAACAATGTGATGATCCTATTATCCCCAGCTCCACTGCGGGGAGCGTTCTCCCTCATGTGGCTCTGTCACAGACATTTGCAACACTTTAATTCCCTTAGAAAAAATAAGTTAGTGAAACATCATCGTGTCTGTGTGACTGGTAACGGCTCTTCCCGTGCTGTACCCTGGAGGGGGTATTAAGTCATCTTGCAGTCCATGGATTTCCTGGCAATTTTATCCAGGATGGAGACAGCAGTTTGCTGCTTCACGCATGTGTATCTGTGTCTGGATTAAAAAGCCTGTTATTGACTTCACCACTGAACAAATTTACCAGTCCACACACCCATGCTTTGGCTTTAGCTTTAACATGGCCCCAGCCCTCCTCTGCCCTGGGTGGGTTGGTCATACATGGAAGCGTGCACCGGTGATGGCCCTGAGCGGCTGGCTGAACACAGTCAGTGCTGTCAAGCCTTCCTCTGGCTGCTGAGGACATGATAGTGTTCAGTTTTGGGAGAAGAGAATATTGTCAATGCCAGGAAGATGATGATCATTGTCCTTTTTTTTTTAAGGCAAGCCTCACTTTGCAGGAGTAAGGCAATCCTGACATTGACCCTTTTGAAGAAAGGCCCTGAGTGGAGCAGTTTTGCTTGAATGGTGGCTTAACCCATTCTCTTTGTGTTCAGTTGCGCAGCTTCCAACAATCACGGAGCAATCTCACACCCAGGTTGCCTACCCTTTTGATGAGGACTTTACAATTAAATGTGAAGCTAAAGGAAACCCGCAGCCCATGTGAGTACTGCTTTCACCTGGAGAAGCAAACAGAAATTGAGTTTACTCAAAGCCTTTGCCAAACACTGTTCTGTTTTTGAGGAGGAGAGGAATAGGGGACGTATAGTAACCTGCTCATCATCGTAAGGCAAGGTTAAGGTTTGGGTTTCCATTTAGGCCATTCAGCTTTTGTTGCTCGATCACTTCCACTCACTCTGTGAATAGATAACAACATGCCTTTTTCTTGTTGGGAGGTGTTCCATTTCTCTAGCATGTGCTAAGTTCACCCCATGATTTAAAAGAGCTTGTCTGGGCTGTGCTGCAAAAGATAGGAGGGGTGTAATGGTAATCAGAGGGTCCCAGCTGTTCTTCTGCCTTTTCCACAGCAGCCCTAAAAATACCAAGCACATTAAACCGTGTATTCAGAGATCACATTTGCATTTTATCAGATACCTTGTCTGTACCTGACATTATCATGACCGTGGTGGTGTTACAAATATACACATAAAGAGCTATTCAAATAAATATCCAAAGATAAGCTTTATGTATTTTATACCAATGTAAAAGGGAAAAGATTTTTAATGCAAATGTGATTAACAAAAATTTAATAATAACACAGTAAAAGCTTCTCCTGAGACTTTCACCACTGGATGGTATATGGGCTAAATTAATAGCTGGTTTGCATGTCGTTTCTATTCTTCCTTTCTTTTTTCTCCACAACACAATTTAAACTTGCTTGAAAAAGGCAGTTGTTATTGTTATATCAAGATGGTTTGATCCTTTTTAATTGAACTCTGAATGGAGGTTTGTAGTGTGATAACAAATTTCCTTTGCTTCACTGTTTGTCAGCAGATCAGTGAAAAGTTTTCCGGTATATTTAAATGTACGTGATAGCGATGGTTAGGCAGTAGGAACCCATACTCCCCTCCATACAGTCGCAAGGTAGTTTTGCCAATACTAGAAGTGCCAAAACATACGTTTCTGTTGACATTAATTTATTCTCTTAAAACATTGAAAAAGGTACGTATTCCACTAAATGCATGTTATACTGTCATTCCCAGCTGTCTCTTATTTTGAATCAGTCTAGCCCAATTTCAAGCCACCTGAGACTTCCAGATACCAGCTATGACCAATACTTCAGCACTCATTAAAATCACAACCCAGTAGCATCAAAACTACAAGTGATTCTATGTGAAGACCAGGAGAAACTCAGGAGAGTCATCTCAGTTTCTCCTGGGTTCAACCGTGGTATCTCCTGTAGCTGGTGAGAATGCTCCCATCAATCTTTGCCAGTCAAAAGCACCAGCTCTCCTACAGACCCAGCTTTTTCTCAAACCTCTAGTTCCTTTCACTGTGCGGCTTTTGCTTTCACAGATGGACTCTCTCATTTTTTGTCCTTGCCTTAAGCTTGGTATTCTTATTTCATGTCACAGTCAGTTATCCAAAAGTGAAGTGTCCAACAGGAGAGACATGCCCAATAGCTAACACAAGTTATAGTAGCACAGTGGTCATTTTACCATCCAACTCTTTCCTCTTATATCAAGTTCTTCTTTCTAGTGCATTGTTGGACTCGTATTAACCACTGGTTTTGTACCATAGTGCTCTCTGTTCTGTGATCTGCCCTTTGTAACACTCATATTATTTTCCAGCTTCAACTGGACTAAAGATGGAAAACCATTTGATTTGTTATCTGACCCAAGGATAGTTGCATCTAACAACTCTGGAACATTTGTGATTCAAAACCGTGGAATCATCACCAATTTTCAAGGGAAATACCGTTGCTATGCATCCAATGTGCTGGGAACTGCCATGTCAGAAGAAATTGAGCTAATTGTTCCAAGTAAGGCCTTTTACTTTGCTTTTGTTTTGTTGTTTTTTTAAGGTGAAAACTGTGTTTAGGCAAGTTAAATGGGAAAGAACTAGTTACTAAGGTGATGTATGGTAAAATATGCACTGTTTGTTATTTCCTTCCAATATTCGGTGAATATTGGAAGGAAAAAATCCGTATGCTGCCTGGAATTATTTCATTTCATTTCATTCCTGGTTTTGAGGACAGAAACTAAATCTGAATGCAGGGTTTCGGACAATACCACTGTACTATCAAGTCCTTACATGTTTCCAAGTGCTGATACTGACACTCCTTATCAACTTTAATTAATACAAACACAACTGGGTAAATAATGCATATGTTTACCTGGATATATTAATTTGGAAAACATTTATTAGGTTTTTTTGCTTTCTGAGTGTCATCTGCCCCTCTTTGCCTCTAGAGGATGAGGTAGTGGGTAAATTAGTATAAACTTCTTAATAGCTGTCTCAAGAGAGCTGAATGTTCAATGACAGAAATTTATTATTTGCTTTGACTTGACTGTTTAAATGCCTTTATAAAGCACTTGCTTCGCCTTTGCCATAAAACCCCAAAGGATTCTTTTCTGATTTGTATTTGCTTAGAGCCACTATTTGCTCTGGTGATGCTTCCAGTTCTAATGCTTATCTCTTTCTGTGAGGAAGAAAGCATAAATATTGATGAGAGTTGTAGTCTGGTAAATTCTTTACCTAATCTGGGCAGAGACAATTTGTTTGTGAGCCGATGCCAGCACATCATGAAAATAAAGAAATCAAAATATTTGGGGAGATAAAACAAATAGCAGAAAAAATAGCAGAGTAGCTTTCTTAACTGCAGTACAGTTATTGAAAAATATTAGCTGTTCATGAAAGATAGACATAATGGCATAGAGCATGAAACAGTGTTAGAAATATATTAAAAGTTTTAAAATGTAGTGGGCAATAAAGGAATAGGAAGTAATTGTCAGAGAAAGCAAAATCAGTTTACGTCAAATCACTTCGGGGAAGTGTTGTAAAAGAACCGTTGCGAGTTTGGGGAAACCCCTGAGTTAAAGTTGGAGTGATCTCTCTAATACTAGAGATATTTATTTGATTAGAATTAGGAATCATGTGATGCTTTCACTTTCCAAATATTTCTTGGAAAGCAAATGTTGTTAAGAGTCATAGGACTGTAATATTTCAGCTTGGCAACTGTGACTGAGTGCCCAGAAATTGGGAGGACAATATGGTCCCCATCTCAGAGCAAGGAACATGAGATCAGAAGCTGGGGGAAAGGATGGGAGAAATAGCAGTTTATTACTGCAAAATAGTAACTGATGCAAACGTTTGAAAGCTCAGGGGAAGCGATCCAGTCGTCTGTGAGTTCATTAGTCTGATGTCAGCAGCGTTCAGGGTTTGGTATAAATACTTACAGGGAGAATATTAAGGACCTGGAAGTGAATGGAAAATGAGCTCAAAAAAGTAGTTTGAGAATTATTGGTCTTAGAAATGTGTCCTTCCATCATTAGCACAGAGGAAGGGCAGAGGGGGAAATGGATGATTTTAAGGACCAGGGTTATAGGAGTGGGATGAAATTTACTGACACAGAGTTCAAGGTAATGATTAGGACAACACTGATACAACCAGCTTTGTACAAATACATTTAAGCACTTGTAGTTTGAAAGTAATATAGGATGATGAAGACACAATTGGTCTTAAATTCAGGATCGAAATCTATGAAATTAGAAGAGGAGAGTTTGAGGCAGAACCTTCCTAGTGGGACTAAAAAGGACAAGAAACTCTACTGGCTCTATGAGGGAGCAGAGTGAGAACATGAAGCAGACTGTCTAACATAGTCAAGTGGCACAGAAGAGGAGAATCAACAGTGCAGTCAGTGGAGCTTTTCTTTAGACTAGATCCTTTATTTCCAAGTTCCTACAATATTTTGTTATCAGGGGATCTCAAAGGACTGGGCACATGTGGAATTGCTGCGTTCACATGGTGGGGGATATCTCCACAGTCATCTGGCTGAGATGCAGAGGCAAGAGATGGCCACCTAGCTACAAAAACCTACTTCTAGCAGGTCAGTGCAGATGAAACGGGCTATGAGAAACATGCATAATAATTTCTGTCATGTTTTAATCATAAGAAATAATCCTCAGAAGTATTTAAGGCATAGCCAGGGCGGGAGGGTCGTGGTGCTGTGATCATGTTGGAAATAGGACACATCGCAGGGGCTGGGGGAGTTCCTGGAAGAGGGCTGCTAAGGATGCCACGTAAATGTAGTGTTATGAAAGAGAGGATTTATTTTCCTTCCAGCCAGTTTTATGGATTTTTTCCTCGCTAAATTTATTTCACATTACACTGTATTGCATAGCATCCCCTAATGCAGTAGCTTGGTGTTTGGTGAGGAATTACCAAGATTACACTTCCAGTTGCTTTAAGGGAATAGCATTCCTTAGTAGAGGAGAACGGCACAAAGTTTTAGGACAGTAAGTTGAAATTTGCTGAATTAATGATGTGAGTTGGCTCCGTGGGTAGGACAGTGCAGCTATGTACCTGATGTCAGCCGGAGTTTCAGGCAGAAACAGGAGAATGACGCAGTTACTCAGAGGTTTAGACAGGACATAATTATTCACTTTGGAGTCTGGCCAGGACAGTGGGGTTAATACGACTTCTCTTAAGCAAAGTGTCTCAGACTCATTAATTTTCAGAGGAGTTCAAGACCTCAGTGTCGTGTTTCAGTGAACGTGTGTCACCTCCAGCAAAATATTCTGATACTCCATTGCTACTGAACCAAAAAAGATGCTTAAAAATGGAAAACAAGAACAAGTTCATGTCTGTATCTGGTATTATTGAATCTCTACTCGTGGCAGATAATTTTTGCTTTTGATGAAACATTGTCTATACTAGCTTCAGTAGATATTAAATATACTGGACATACTTAACAACAACTTAACTGAGAAGTTACACACATGGTTGTTACAAAATGCGAGAGGAATTTTAGTGCTAATACATGCAAAATCCTAAATCCAGAAAATAAATAAATAGTACAGATAATATACTAGAGATTTACCTGACTCCCACACCTTTTAAGGCACATTTACTTTTATTCATGCTCTTCTGCCATCAATTCTTTCATTTAACTGTGCAATGTAGATGCTGCCAATTAAATGAGGATTCAGAGAGTAACAGAAGACACCTGTGATTTTCTAAAGTGGTGGATAGTCTACAACTGTGCTCAAGTGAAAGAGATCTGCTGGTGTACAGATCCTCTGTAAATGGGGCAATCACTGACACAGAAGAGTTTGGGATAAATTGCTTCTATTCATCAGGTTTTGAAGCAGAGGCTGGTACATGTGAGATGACTACATGCATTCATGACAATGATGCAGAGGTGGCAGTGCTTTGCCAGCTGTATTCAACTAAAATGTAAGCTACTTGGCAAGTCACTATGCCAATGGAGTGAAGAAAACCCAGCAAGTCAGACTAGGCCAGTTTCTTTCATAAATTACATTTACATTGCAGAAGGAGAACACTGCGTCTGTAAGGAAAGGAAGGTTGATGCTGAAAAGCAGAACTAAAAACTGTTTACTCACACTATTCATTCCAGGAAAACGATGGAAATGTCAGCAGAAATTATCATTAAATGTCACCTACATAACAAAAATACCACACCTCCTCTATATATGATGACATTAAGGAGCGTGGGGAAGAATGGGGTCTGAGGTTCTCTATACGTTCGCATCATTTACAAAGTCCAGATTGGTACAAGATACATGCAGCATGAAAATAAATTCAAATGGCAAGAACACAGACCTCAGCTATCCTCCTCCTGTATTTAGGGAATAGGCCTAATGCCAGAGGAAGGAGAAAAAGTGTGGTTTAAACTTCTTTAATTAACTGTACTGTGAAAGACTTTTCATGGTTGACTGCGTTAAGATTTATGCTCAGTATTTCTAAAGCTGTTGCTCTAAAAGACCAAAGATCTGAGGAGGGAAACATAGCTTAAACATAAAATTGTCCAGTGGCAGGGTATGCTATGCAGATGTGAATGTTGTGTAGTCATTAAAAGATAATGAGCTAAAATAGGAGTTCTCAGTAACACGCTTTGTGAAGACATTCAGTATAGGTTTTTTGGAAGAGAAAACAAAAGAGAGTAACTCACTGAGCCTTTGCAGGCAGTGGGAATAAAGCTTAAACCTCCTGCCTCCTAAACCAGTGTCTTATACCTTTGACAACTTTTGTGGACACCTAAATTGTTGGGATCACTCTGACTGTTGCCAGCGACCATCGTTTTGGAAAGGGCAATAGAGGAAGATTTACACAGAAAAGAAGACCGTCACTGATTCCATCATAGAAGCTTCTTTGAGAGCGAGTGAACTGACAGCCATGGTCTTCCTGACAGACAGAGTTTCCTAACTTTTTCAATTTAATGCAGCAATTAAAAAACCCCATAAATAAGCAAGATCGTATCTCATAAACAGTTCAAAGGCTGCAATGGAAACTGCAGATTTAACTGCTGCACATACTACATGGAACAGAGTAGCGATTGATGCACTGAGATGTGTACTGGAAGCTGCCCAAACTCTGTTCGATACAACTCATGTGGTCAGTGACTGCAAGTCACATTTATGATTCTTTGACATGTTGGGCTGTTCATTGCACAAGATATAGATTTGTACAACAAATCAGCTAGCTACTAATTGAAGCATCTGAGGATCTGGGAATTTCCAGGATATAGAAGTTTCTTGACTATTTCCACCTTCCCTCACTATTGCATCCTTTAAGGATTTATTTGCATGGAAGAACTTAAGAGTATCAACGATGGGTCAGGCAAAGCACCCATCTAGCCCAGGACACATCTCCAGCAGCATCCACAGAGAAGGTTATAAAAACAGACCTGGTGTATAGTGATGTTTTCCTGCAATAGTTTCCAAAAATATTTCCTAATTGCTGATTTACCATACTGAGTTGACTTCTATTTTACAGCAGCTGCTGGCAGAAACTAGACACAGGGGACTCAAGGACTTCTCGAGTTGCCTCGAGAAACCCTTTTCCTTCATTTCTATCTCTCAACACTTTACCCAGAAACATGTAAAATATCAGATTGAATGGACTCCATTCTCATATAAACTGGTATAAATTGCCATACTCAATACAGTTATAGTTGTGTGAAGTCACTGTAGTCAGCAGTAGGACAAAAACTAAGCCGTAAAACAAAGTGTCCTGCGAGTAAATCTGAAGCAATGCTGCTGGGGACTGGCGTGCCCCAACTCTGGTTGCTATATTTTTGAATCTATACTACTAAACTCGAATTTAGATTTTATATTGCATTGTACTGCTCTCCCTCCTCTTTGCTTTTAGCTGAGATACTGCATTTTCTGAACAGATAAGAAGCAGGAGGGCATGACCCAGCCTCCTTTCTGGAATTTCTCTCAGCCAACCTAATTTGCTGATGGTATTTCAGCCTAATCTCAAGTACAGTTTGGTCATTAAACTTTGAGTCACCCTGGGGATTAAACAGAGCCTGGTTCCATACAAAAATTACTCTGGACATTGATAATCTTTCATTTCCATGGTTTACACACTGTCAGAGCTCTGTAATTCTGTTTTTTGAGTGCTGTACAGCATTCACAGTACAGCCTTGTCAGGAAACAGTATTTGGGCAGCGAAGCCTTTCCCAAGACTGTTTTGAGAGCTCTATATGTCACGTTGGGCTTTTAGAAGATGTCTCCATACAGAAGTCAGGCGTGCAGTTTTTCGTCTTCCCTATGGCTGTTTCATACATGCCACTTGATTGCTTGTGTCGTGAGAGCCATCCTGCTGGCACTTCGGCAAGCCTTTCTCAGAGTCATTAAATAATGTTGTTCTCCCCTGTGTTATGGATATGTGAGAGGTAGCACTTGGAGCTATGCTGGATTCTCTGTCCCCTCTCATTATATCTGTGTGTGGGGAATTGCATGAAAGATTGACATGACAGTTTTAATGATATCGCTGCAATGAGATCAATTGGTTGTAAATTTTACAGTGTCCATGTGCTGCATTGATAACTCCATACAGTATTCAACACTTTCATGACACAATTAATCTTGTAAGATAACTTTTGAGCTTAATTCAGCGATGATAGTTTCTATGATCAGCCACAAATCAGTAGTGATTGATTCTGGAATATCCAGTAATTAAAACAGAGGAACACTGAAAAAAAAAAATGTTGCCTACATATACATACTGAAGACAAATGTGCAAGAGCCAAAGTCTAATGTGATATTAGCTTCTTAGCTTTAATAAATCTCCTGCTGCAGAATTCAGAAGCAGTTATTTTTCTAATCTGAGACCGATGGGACCCCAGCAAGAAAATATGCTTGTCGGAAAGTTTAGCTCAGGAATTAATCATGAAAGCTGCGATTTCGTCTCTTGCAAAATTCAAGGGTTCAAAACACTCAAAGTTATGCATTGAGGGGAAAATCAAAGTTTTGCATGTTTTTCATGATGAACAAAGTGAAACAAACAACACGGAAGAACCCAGAAGCCCCGACTGCCTGTAGTTCAAGTACTTGTTAGAGATGGAGGACACTGGGGTTCAAGTTGCTGCTTCCCCCACTGAGGACCAAAGGCAGACATCTGAGCCATCCACTGGAGATGAATGCCTACACCGCCAGCTAATGACACCAAGACCATGATTTTTCACTGTCTCCTGGTGGGATTTACTGTATTTTTGTATAATTCTGTAATTACTGGCTACAGAAATTGACTGAGAAGACCAGTGGTTATGGCACCCACCTGGGATATTGGAGACCCAGATTTAGTTGTGCCAAATGAGGCAGAAAATGGGTTTGAACAAGAGTTTCCAATGTCCTAGATGAGTGATCTCACTATTAGTCTAGTTGCTGGTCTCTTTGGTTTAGTCATAAATCCCTTATCCTTCACCTGATCCAGCTTTCTTAAAGTTTTGTTGAGAGTGATGTGCTTTTCGGAATAAGTAAGCTTTAGATCAACAAATTGGCTTTTTCCTATTGGAAAGTGTTTCACCTCTCCAGCAATCAGCAGATATATTTTCCAGGGCTTGAAGACTATAGGTTATTGAATATACTGGATTTGAATGTATAGTTCCCTTTGTTATCTGAAATTTCACCTACAGAGTGGGTAATGAATGCTCATTAACTCCATTTTACCTCTCCTAAGAATTCATAATGTATTAATAATCCTCCTGGAGATAGAATCTATGCACAATCTACATTCAGGCAATCAGCATTATAACGATTGCTTCTTTTTACATTTACTAATCTTACAATGTATAAAGTCTCCTCAGAGTCCTGGCCCTGCCGTTTCTCACCCTCCTCCCTCGGTTTGGCGCCTGTGATGTGACACTGCAGCTGCCCTGTGGAGCTGCTGGACCCACTGGCATTTTAAATTGTTTATTCGCTATCAGAGTTCCCTGTTATGACTTGAACACTGGGATAGCAATATTTGCTGTGCCAGTTTATTCTGCACAGCCAGGATGCTTTCATTCCTTTGCTGTTTAATTGCTGTTAATTTTGCTGTTTAATACAGTTGCCTGAACTGAAACTTTTGCTAGCTTGAACTTGTCTGAAATGAAAGCAGAAGATGGTGTCCGCCCTGAAACTGTCTTAGCTAAATTCGTTTAAGGAGTGGCTACGTTTGCAATAATCCCTGGGCTGCAGCCTCCCAGTGCTTGGTTTGATGAGGGCTCCAGCCTAGCTCCGCTTCCCCTCTTCTTGGATGCGCTCTGGTTGCATTTTGGGCTGCTGAGACTGGCCAGGTTGCCCACGTTTGCCAAGAGTGGTTCAGGCTTTGAACAGTCTGCTGGCATCAGTGCTGATGCTCTCGGTGATTAAACAAGTCCTTGATCCATTAATTTAGCCTACATTTAAGCCCAAATAGTGCAACCCTTATGCACCCTTGAATATTATTTTGTGCAAATCCTGTCTCTGGATCCCGAGAAAGTCTGCAGGTTGCACAGCAAAGGTTTTACACCTGAGGGGATGAGGAGGCAATATAGTCTTTAAACTTCTGCTTCATCTGATTATGGAGGAGGATAAGAATTGGGGCAACTCCAGGCACAAGGCAGAATAGCTGCCTGATGTCTCTCCTCACCTGCATTGACTTGCGATGGCTTCTTGGGAACCATTTTTTAGCCAAGTCTTCCCAGAACATACTGCGCTCACAGGCTGGTTTCTGATCTCCCGGGAGCAGCTCGGGACCCGTCAGTGCATCATCCTGTACACCGATCTTAGCCTCAGGCTGCGCTTCTGTGTGGCATTGAGTTGTCCCTTCCAGACAGTACAAACAGGAGCTAGAGAAAGTGTTTGAAAATAAATGCATTAAAATAAAGCCTAAGGAAATCTCGTGGACATCACTGGCATGTGTTCAACATCACCATCGGGTTGCCTGGCTTTCAATACTAGTCTGTGCTAGCAGAGGTTTCTTAATCAATTTCTTAGTAAAATGCATCATTACTCTGTATCGCTTTTGTTAATAATAGTATTAACTAAAGGCAGAAAATGCAAAGGATGATCTTAAGGTAAGTATTTTATTAAGAACTGTATTAAGGGGGAATTGAAGGGCAAAATTTCAAAAGGTAGCAATAAAATAGGAACTTTTTTGCTTTTGTACAGGTGTACCAAAATTCCCAAAAGAAAAAATTGAGCCCCTTGATGTGGAGCATGGTGATTCTGTGATTTTGCACTGTAACCCCCCAAAAGGCATCCCACCTTTGCATATCTATTGGATGAATATTGGTAAGTAAACAATTTTTACACTATTCTTCTGAGGAGATTCAAAACATTTGTCTTCCAGAGCAGTTTCATTACAGATTCATAATTGATGGGAATGGTAATTGTGCAAGTGCTTAGGAAAAAGATCTGGATATTGAAAAACAAAATTGAAAAATGGAAAATGGAGATATGTTTTTACATAGCGCAAAGTTAAATTGTTGAGTACATTGCCACAACATATTATTAAAGATGAGATATCAGAAAGCTTACATACCAATAAACTCAAAAAAATTAGTCTACTAGTAATGAGGACTACTGCATTTACAGTAGAAGGAAAAAATGTGACAATATATTATGTCTATCACCACTGGTTTCATAAAATAACGGTTGATTTATGATACTAAGAAAAAAAAAAAATCTCTCATGTATGTATAATTAGTTCCTTACAGGTTTCTGTCACGCTATTCTTCAGCATTTGTGTTCTGCAGGCATTTCTGGTTCTTGGGAAGCAAAATAACTCGGATTGGCTCCATGACCTGCAGGGTTTGCTTCTGATACTGACCAAGTACTTGCACAGACAGGGTGCCACATTAAACCTCTGATCTTATAAGGCAGCCTCTCTACTCCTGACATAGGTATTTAGCACAGACCTGCATTTGGCTGGATCAACCACGAGACAGTACAGCGACCTTAGCTTGTACCAACGCTCCCCTGCTGTAATCTGTAGTTACAGAAGAGCAAAGTGCTTGGGACAGTGGCCATGGGGAGATCTGTAAATGGTGAACTCCATATCATCATTTCAGGCCTTCGTATCTACTTTTTTTATTATCAATTTGTCATTATCAATTATTTTTCATATATATTTATATAAGCATATTATTGTATGTAAAATATTTATTCTCAATTATCAATCATACGTTGAATATTGGTAAATAACCCATTGGTTATGCTGGGCCTACTGCCTTTTTCACATCAAAGTTATATCCTGTATCTGGAAGCAAACATGACAGGAGAGCATTAGTAGTCATGTTGGTGAAACAGCTCAGTATCATTACCATATCATAATTATTTCTTCTTGCTAGATTTGCAGCACATTCCGCAAGATGAAAGGGTCTCCATGAGCCTTAAGGGAGATCTCTACTTTGCAAATGTGGAAGAAAATGACAGTCGGAGTGATTATTGCTGCTTTGCAGCATTTCCAAGACTGAGGACAATTGTACAGAAAATGCCAATGACGCTGAAGGTTTCCCGTTGTAAGTCTGTGGATGAGTAATTTCTTATTTTCTGTTGTTTTTTCAACTCCCCAGGCATCAGCGAATGCAGATGTGTGCCCTGTATCTCTGATGTGATTCTCTCTGAAGAAAACGCATGTTACTGTGCTTATTCCTGCATTATTAACCTTACTCTAAGGGCTAAATTCAACCGATAAAAGCTTTTTGCAGCTGTTGGTCCCCAAAAGTCCTTCCTCCTGTTCTCCCCCGGGTGAAACCTAATGATGCATTAGGGAAAACTGCTGCTCTTGCAGTCCAGCGGGTCATGGACGGATGGGACTTCGCTGGGTCTCAAGGACTTTACGTGGCCACCTCCTCCCTGGGTGCAGGCCTGGTTTGGTCCGGGTGCAGCAATGAGGTTGGGAGGGACGGTGCTTTCCAGGTCTTTGCAGGCTGCCTTGAGCATCGATAGTGACACACAAGGCATTTTCCATTTCCTTAATGACATGTTGTGTAG